CCAGGACACAGAGCAAGGAATGAGGTCCTGTGCAGGGAGTCGGGGGAAGGACCCTCCCTGGGAGGTCAGGTTGGGCTGATGGAGGTGAGGACAGACTGAGAGTGGGCAGCACCCCTCCCTCTGTGACGAGGTCCCTGATCTTTGCAGGGGCGTGGGCACTCACCCTCAAGACTGAGCAAGGCAGCGAATAACCTAGTCTGTTAGCGACCACCTCCCAGCCCTCAGACACACAGCCGAGCACGGAGCACCGCGGCCTCTGGGGAGGAGCACAGGCAGCAGGACCTGTCACAGGTTCTGAGAAAGGGCTGAAGGCAAGGGAGGAACTCTGGCAACAGCTAAGCTTCTGCATGTAGCAGGTGCACAGGCCCTGGGAAGGGGTGAAGGAGACCCCACAAGCCTCTGTGCCTGCTGCACACTCTGTCCCAGCTACACACACACACACACACCCCATACCATACCTCTTGGCTTCCCTGTCTGGCCCTTTGAGAGCAGAAAGGAGAGGAAAGCTGCCTGGCCTATGCCCCCCTATTCCCACCCTCTGCTGTGCCCCAAGCAGGATTGGCTCCCCCTACCCCTGCAGGCACAGCTCTGGCCTCAGCTCTCACCCTCTGGAGAATCCCAGCACTGCCAGCCTGGGCCAATGGGCAAGGGGAGGCAGGATGGTGGGTGGGACTCCCGGCTGGGTGTGGGCGTCACCCTCTGCTCTAGAAGCAGGCACCATTAATATATGCAAAGCATATGCAAATAGCCCAGAAGAGAGACAGGACAACGATATTGTCGCTGGAATGTCAGAGGAGATCTTGGAGACCATCTATCCCCAACCCCCTCATTTCACAGGTGAGGAAAGAGGCAAACTGGGAAGGGACTTGCTCAAGGTCACACAGGTTGTGGGGCACTCAGGGGATCCGAGGGACGCACTTGTTCTGCTGCCAGCTGGTCCTTCTGAGGCAGGGAGGGACATCATGGCCAGTGGGCCAGGGGCAGGCCCCAGAGACCCAATGGGAGGTAGAGTAGAGGCTTGGAGCCCTCTCTTCCTGCTAGGGGCAGCATGGGTGAGGCAGCCAGAGGCCCCAGGCAGTAGCCAACAAGAAGCCCACCCATTCTGGAGGTGGAGGTGGAAACCCAGAGGGCAGAAGGAGAACTGGAGTGCCTGGGGTGGGAGCAGGGAGAGCCCAATGTCAGGGCAAGGTGCCCGCTGTGGTGTGGGGAGAGGGAGGCTCCGCACACGCCCTGCTAAGTACTCAGCCAGCCCCGTCTGCCTCTGATCACCGTGGCACCTGACAGCCAGACCATAATAGTCAGCCTAGGCCCAGCCCTTCCAAGGCAGCGGCTGTCACTCAACATGAGCCCCCTTTCCCCCACCTTCTAGCAGGCCCAATGGGGAGGGGGCAGGCAGAGGGAGACCGGGGGTGGGGGGCAAGAAGGGCAGAGCGGAGAAACTGGAAGGTAGGGAAAGAGGAGACCAGGGTGAAGGAAGCAGGTTGGGAGAGATGGAATGGCAAGGCAAAGGGGCGGTGGCGGTGTGCTGTGGGTCTGAGAGGGGGCAGTGGCAGAGCGTGGCTGCCCCCCGCCCCACCGTGCTGGGTACAAGAGCCCTGAGCCCAGGTTCTAGGTTGTCTGGCCAAGGTTGAGTCCAGGGCCCTGCTGGGTGGTCGCCCACCTCCCCAGCAACTCCCCTGGCTGCCAGGAAATCATTCCTCCCTTTTTCTCTGCCTCTCTCTCCCTCCTTCCCTCCCCCTATTCCTCCCTCCCTGGGGGCAGGCAGGCGCTGCTTCCCAGCCAAATCCAAAGCCTTCATCTTTGCTTTTCAGAGCCTGGAATGAAAGAAGGGGAAGCGAGTGCAGCCCTCAAACCCGCTGACGGCCAGATTTTTATTATCTTTGCTCGAATGGGCCCCAGGAAGCCAACAAGGGATTCTTCAAAGAGCGGTTGAGTGCTTCACTGATGTCTGCACAGGCCCACCCTCAGCAGGCACCCAGGGCTGGGGGCCGGGGCACAACCCATCCCCCACTGCCTACCCACCCTACCCAGCCGGACCCTGGGACCCCTCAGCCACACCGCATACCCAGGTAGGGGCCACCAGGTCAGGGGACCAAGGCCCAACAGCTCGCTGGGCCTCAAAGGCAATGTGTGGCCCTCTCTGGGTCTTGAGGGCATAGCAAGGAAGGAAACAGAGCTCCTTGCCAGGGCTTGGAGAGACAAGTGCCTCAGATTCCTCGAAAGATCAGCTCCGCTGGCAAGCCTTGGATCCTCCTCCCAGTTGCCCACCTCCACAGTACCCAGGGGTCCACTCAGCTGCTTTCCAGTTCCCTTCTGCAGGTCCTGCCTGGCCACAGCTGCCTCCTCCTATGCCCCAGACCCCTGTTCAGGATGGAGAGACCCCTTAAAGCCCAAGTCCAGCTCCCTTGGTTCAAATCCTCAGCTCTGTCTCCCTTCTTTCTGCAAGACCTGACCTGCAGTGGGGGAGGGGAATCTGAGTAGACCAGGTACTTTGAAAAGCCCAGTCCCTCCAGTAGACGGCATCAAGGCTGGCACTGGGCAGACAGCAGGCGGGCCACCCCTACCTCCCCCCGCCAGCTCCAACCACACTGTTGGGATCAATGCCCACAGCCGAAGAAGGAATCAATGGTTCTAATTAAACCCTTTTTACAGAGCGGGACCCTGGCCAGAGGAGGTGGGGGGGGGGAGAGACGGAGTGAGCGAGCATCAGCAGGTCCAATCCTATCGCCAACCTGGTACCCTGCACATCTTTGAGAAACCTGGAATCCGGCCAGAAGTGGGCCATGGAGACCCCAGATCCCCTGCACTGGACAAGGAGGCAAAGAGCAGGGCAGGGCGAAAGCTTGAGATGGGGCCGGCTTCCAAGGGGCATGGTCTAGGTCCTCCTACCACCATGGAGTGGCCATCCCCTGCCCCCAGCACTGCCTGCAGACCCCTGTGCATGCCTCTTCCTGCGATGGAGCCAGAGTGGGCTTGCCAGCCCCGTCTCCATCCCAGCCCTGAGGGTCATCGCAGAGAACCAGCCGTCACAGAAAGGGAGCTAGGAATGAGGAGGGGCACCGGACAAAGACCCTCTTGTCCCCAGGGCAATGTGGCAGGGAGCCAGGGCAATGCCTTTGCACTTGCTGCCAGTGGTGCCTGGGAGCCAAGGCAGGCTGGGTGGGGAGCAGCCGAGGGAGGGCTGTCTTGCTCTTGAAGCTCTCCCTCCAGGGATGCCAGAGCCCTATTCCCATCCCTTACTTCTGCACCAAAAGGGTAGCTGCCTGCCCCAAGAACTCTGAGCTCGCCTGAAGATGCCTCTCTGGGTGAATCCCTGGCTCGGAGCAGCCCCAGCAGCAACCAGCAGCCCGTACCCTGAGTGCATTTTCCTGCCACACACACACACACACACACACACACACACAGCCGGCCAGAGACTGCCCCCCCCCCCCCAGCCTCGCTGGGCTTTCTCACAGGGACAGCTTCCTCCACATGCATCAACACTGGGACTCAGACCTGGAGAGAGACTGAGGCATGGAGTTGGAGAGCGGAGTTCAAGGTCATGCAGACCCAGATAGAGTCCAGAGCAAGCTACCCAGGGCTGCCCCGGAAAGTGCTCAGACCCACCCACCCAAAGGACCACGGAGACCCCCAGACACGGACTCTCCACCCACGCGCTTCTAGCAGACAGGCGCTTCCACATCTCCTTTGGAAAGACTGCAGCCAGACACCCCCAGCCCAGGGCAGCCCACACCCCTAAAGTCGGGCCAACACCCCCCCACACACACACACACAAGATTTGAGGGGAGAAGCTGAGAAACACACTCGCGCTCCTGCTCACCTGGCTCCCCGCGGCCCCCAGCGTCCCTCGCGCCAGCCTCCTCCCGGGGAGAGCGGGCTCTGCCCTCCGCGGTCCTCTCCCACCAGGCCAGGGCAAAGCGCCGGAGGCACTGCCAGGGCTGCATGGGGCGGCGGGGGGCGGGGGGGCGCGCACTTGCAGCCGCTCTCGCCCCGCCGGGCCCTGCCAGCCGAGCTGCGGAGGCACCCGGCCGGCCCCCTCGGCTTCCACCAGCATCCTGCTGCCCCCACCGACAGGACTCGGAGCTGGCCCCGGGAGCTTCTGACGTAGCAAGGGGGGGAGCGTGGGAGCGGGGGGGGGCACGCGCGTCCCCTCCCCAGCCCCGCCCACTGCCCCTCAGTCTCCTGCAGCCCCGACCGCCTCACTCACCCCAGACTCCCTCCCCGGAGGGGGGGCGCCCTCCCGTGCCCTCTGGCCTCCGCAGGGGGAGGGCTCCGGATCACATGGGCCCTGCCCAGCCCCTCCCCCTCGGGGCCCTCCCCGCCACCCCGCGAGCGGGACGCTGGTCCCCAGTTTCGGCAACTGCTGCTGAGGCTCGCAGGTCCCCAGGGCCGGAGTCTCCGGTGCCAGGGGTGTGTGGAGCGCAGGCTGGTCTCCTGGCAACACCGCCAAGCCCAGCGCGCACGCCTCCCCTGCGTCCCTCAGGGGGTTCGGGGGGCAGAGCAGAGGCCCGAGCAGCCACCCCAGTGCCTCCCCGGCACCCCGTTCTAGGGGCTGGACAGAGAGACAGAGAGAGGAAGGCCTCTGGGCTCCTCTCACTACTCCATCCCCCGCCTCTGCGTCTCCCTCGGCCTCCACCTCGCAGCGACCACTCCCCACCATCCACCCCTGCTGCTTCTTCTCCCACCCCTCCCCCTCCACACCAAGCCCTTCCCGTTTTCACCCCGCTGGCCCCCTTCCCCGGGCACCATGAGGCCCTCCCCACCCAGTACCCTAGCCTGTCCATCCCTGTCCCCTTCCCGGTGCCAGCTCCCGTCGGAGGTCCTGCTCCCGAGCCGGGCGCTCGGCGCACCCCTGCCCCCACACACCTGCGCCCCGAGCATCCCTCGCCCCGCCGGCCGCCGCCCCCGCCCCCGGCCGAGGGGAAAACACACAAAGAAAACAGAAATACCTTCCACTTAAGCATGGAGGCACATTAGGGAGGAGAGAGACAGGGACATGCCTTGGGACGGAGCGTTCCCCATCGGGCGGGGGCACGGGGGGCGGGGGCCCCGGGCCGGCCTGCCTGGCGCTCGCCCTCTCGCCGCCGCCTCGCGGGCTCCTCTCTCGGCCCCAGCCCCGGGGCGCGGTGCCAGGCGGGCGGGCCGGGGGCGCGGGCCCCGCCGGGGTGGACCAGCTGGGAGGGCGCCGGCGACCGGGCGTGTGGGTGCGCGCGCGCGCGGGCGTGTCACCGAGTGTGCGAGAGCGAATGAGTGTGTGTGTGTGTGAGAGAGAGAGAGTGTGTGAGAGAGGGAGTGCGCGCGCGGCCCGGCGCGGGTGTGTCACTGCGGGCGGGGGCGCGCGGCGCGGGCACGCGCGTGTGGCCGGGTGGTACAAAGGGCCGCCTGGGGTGGCGGGGAGCGGGGGAGGGGAGGGGCGCCGCGCCTGCTCGCGCCCTCCGGCAGAGGCGCGGGAGCCCGCGGCGCGCGGCCGGGCGGGGCTGCGGGGCGCGCTCACGCCCTCCTGCCCACTCCACCTGCCGCTCCGACCCCAAGCGCTCGTGCAAATCCATCGACCAGGGGGGCCGGCCTCCGAGGAGGCTCTGAGGGAAGAGGGGCAGCTGGAGGCGGGGACGCGGCGGGGGGCCTCCTAGACGCCCCCACCCAGCCCGGGCGGGATGGAGAAGCGCTCGGGCCGGGCCGGGCCGGGGAGGCATGGGGGGGGGGCACGCTTCAGCCAAGGTGACCTCGGAGAGCTCCGCCGCCCAGGACAGGGAGAGTCCAGGCCTTCCTCGGCGTCGGCCTGTGCGCCCCCAGGCCCGCTCGCCTTCCTCTTCCCTCCTCACCCCTCTTCCAGGCTCATCCCGCACCCGATTCTCCGGCGCCCCCTTCTGGGCGGCTTCCCGGGCCCTCCTGCAGGTGTCTGCGAGCGCTGCAGGGGCGCGTGCTGGGAGTGAGGGGACGCTCCTCTCTCAAGAGGGACCCCGAAGTAGGACGCAGCGGCCAGCGCGGCGTCTCACATCTCGCTGGGCGGCGCCACTGCCGCACTGGCCTGCACCTCCTCTCCCCCACTTTGGTTGGCCTCCTTACCTGTTCGTTCCGTAGCCTTCTCCAGTTCCAGCCGAAACCCACGCTGACTTGCTTCTGGCTTCGGCCACCGCCTGCTTCCCGCCCGCCTTGTTGGCGGAATGGTTTCTTCTTTCCCAGGCCCAAATGTGGGCTGAGCTCCTCGACCCTTTTATTTACCCCCTGGCATTCCTCAAGCTGATCTAAGCAAGCAGGGTATGGAACATCTCCCTGTAGACTGGCAGGCAGAAAGAGTCCAACAGAGGAGACCCCACCCCAAGTAACGCAACAGGCAAACCGGTTTCCCCACTTGCTGTACTACCTGGTTGGAGCCTTAATCTGGGCTCTCCCACTTTCCTGCCTGTACCAGGCCTGCCCCTGAACCAGTTACAAATTCAGCTTAGGGGCAAGGTCCCAGATGCCCCATGGAGATCAATGTCCAGTTGCAGTAACTGAGGTGGCAGGGCCAGGGCTGGAGGAGGAGGCCCTGCCCTGCGCCTGTGGCCAGCTCAGGAGGCCAGCCAAGAGCTGTTACTGGGACACACTGTCTGGGCACACGACCCCAGCAGTCAGCACCCCGACTTCTCCCCTCCTGGGCCAGCTGCCTCTCCCGCTGCCAACTGGATGGCGCCCATCTTTTGGCCTCTGAGCACACAGTGGGCAGCTGTCCAGCTCCCTGCCTGGCTGTCTGCCCAGGACGAGCATGGAAGGCAGCAGGCCTGTGTAGGGGAGGGGTCCGGGCCCATAGGGCCAGTTTCACCCCAGCTACACGGCACCATGCCTTGAGCTTCTTGGAGCTGCAGTCTGGGTGCACCTGCGCCTCCCTGGGTAATTCCCTCCCCCAACTCAACTACATAGGACCTTCTGCCCGTAAACTCCTTCCAACTCAGCTGCCTTCTGCCTCCTTCATTTTGTGCCCACCTAAGGGGAAGAAAGTCAGTAAGTGCTTTACCCATAATCCTTCACTGAAGCCAGCCAGTAAACACAGGTGAGCGTTTTCAGCCCTTTTGGGGGATAAAGTAGCTGACACTCTGACAGGTATAGACAACTGCCCACTCTAAGAGCAGCAAAGGTGGAATTCAAACCCAGATCTGCGTGAGGGCAGCGTCTTCTATGCCATCACCAATCCATCATCTCTTAGCCCCCCATGGGCTGCCCAAAGCAGGGACAACACGCAGTCTCCTAACCATGTGCTCCAAAGGAAGCTGGGACCAGGAATGTGGCCAAGAGTTAAGACTGGCGGTGATGTAGGTGAAGGAGCCTGGGCATTCTTCCCCAGGGCACGCTTGAAGCCATGCTTGTGCCATCACCAGCTCTCTGTCCTGACCCGAGCAGCCACTGGAATGGGCTGGGGTGGGGGGGAAGCCCTCAAGGACTGGGAACAGTTCCAAAGGTGTCAGCGGGACAAAGCATCCAGTGTTGGCACCCTTACAGGAGCCCCTGCATCCGTGAGGTGCCACGGTCAGGGTCAGATTCAGGCTCAGGCTGTTTTTCATTTGTGCTGCTCATGTGAGCTTGAACATTCTGGTCACTTCCACAGCTGTGAGCTTGTTGGACTCGCTCTCATCTTTAACTCTACAAAGATGTGCTACCTACACACTGCCCCTCTGCCCCCCGCCCAGGATGACTGACCCCTGTGGGTCCATGGGCAGGGGTTGACAAGGCTCCTGGACAGAAGCAAAGACCCTAAGCCCCATGCTGAACTAGAGGGTGGCTGGCTTGGCGCAATCACACTTTCCTGGCTCTGCTCGATCCTGCTGGGTGCCACTGCCCTGGGAAGGTGGGTGCCTGCCACCTGCCTTCCCATCAAGTCATCAGAGGATGCATCTCCCCATCAGAGCAATACAGGTGTGACTTCTCCAGCTGAGAGACGAGAATTGCTCCTGTAAGCTGGCATGATGCCCGGGCACAACTGGTGCGCCAGCTGCCTCCACCTGAGATGCCTCAGGTGCCAGCCTGCCACCACCCTCATTGGTGGAGAGGTGGGGCTCTTCAGCCTTGTCCCTTCCTCGGAGGAGGAAATGCCCACAGAAGCCGGGGGTCGCACTTGGGCAAGTACTTGGGGGATAAGGCACAGGGCGGGCAGAGGGGTGTGTGAACCCCTGGTGTGTGGGGGGAGGCAGGAGGTGTTGGGGAAATGATAAAGTGGGCATCCCAGCCAGGATACCCTGGAGCTCTCCTCACCTTCCCTCGCCCCCAGGGTCTTTGCCGGGCACTCAGGTCCTGAGCTCCCTGCAGACAAGCCACACTCCACCAAGGATGGAGCGGTCACGGTGGACCCCCTGTTTTGGATTTCTTCTTGCTCTGGGGAAGAGGCCAGGGGCAGTGATTGGGCAGAAGCACAGTGGATGGGCAAAGACCGAGAGGAGAGAGGAGGCTGCTTACCCTGGGCCCCAGCCCTGCATCTAGGCTCCGACCACAGCGTCCTCTCCTAGGGCCCCTAAACCACTCCGCTCACATTCAACGCTCTCCCAATCCTCCCACCCACTCCACAGGGGACAAGTGAGTGGCAGGCCATTTCAAAAGACCCCGGGGGTCCCTATGGCCCCTCCCCTGCTTGTTATTGTAATGAATGCTAATGGAGCTCAATAATTGATGTCCTCATTAGCACATCAAACCCTGGCTCTGAAGAATAGGCGGAATGGAAGGGGTTTCTCCAGGCTCTTGAACCAAAACCAGCCCCCTCCCAGAACAGCATCTTGGCGGTTCCCTAGGGGAGGAGTGCTGGGGGCAGTGCCCGGGTCTCCCCAGCTCAGGGGCACTTTCTGAGCCAGAGCCGCCAGCCTTCCTTGTTAGGTGGGCGGGGTTGGACCAAACGCATCTTCCTCATTGATGCAGGGCTCCCCCTGCTGGCAGGGCTGTGACTCTGAAACTGGCTGGAAGAGCAGAGTTCCCAGGGGGAGCTGCCACTCTATCCCCAAGCTCCTGATTCACTACATCGAGACAAGGCCTGAGAATCTGCATTTCTAGTAAGTTTCCAAGTGATACCACAGCCGGGTGAAAGACACTAGGTGAAGTCCGTCTCCCTGATTTTCCAGCTTGAGGCATCCTTGGCTGGTGCAACGGGGTCTGGCACAGGGAGTGTCCGGAGGGCTTTGGGGCGTGGGTGAATACATCTCATCCCACTGCTAGGCTGGTCCCTGCCATCGAAAGTATCAAGCATCACCAGGCAGCTCAGGCAACCCAGGGCCTTGATACTGAGCCACAGGATGGCCCCGCACCCCTACTGGATGCCTGTGCCCCTGGTGGTGCCAGGTCAAGGGAACGGGCGGTGGAAAGCCCCGCCTCTTTGGGGACCTAGGTGGGGAGGGGAGCTCAAGCCAAGGGCAACCTGGAAGCCAGCAGAATAGCAGGAAGCAGAAAAAGGGAAGGTTAGAAACAGAGGGAGAGGATAGACCCAAGAAAGAGAAAAAGGGGAAGGGGGCGGCGTAAAGCAACCTGTGTCCATCTGCCTAGGAGGACATGGTGGGAACACAGGCCCAGCTCCCAGGATCACACCCAGCCTGGCTTGGAGGTTTCAGATTTCATCCTGCTCTTCAACAGGGAGAGGCCCTCTTCTCCCACCCCAGCTAGCTGTCTGCCCAGGCCTGCCATACAGCCTGCTAAACCTGTGGAGGGTGGACCACGGGTGGGTGGATGCAGCAGGCACCGATGATTTAGGTTGCTAGGTAGCTAGGTAGCTGCCTGCCTCTTCCCAAGGTCATGGCAGCAACTGTTGAGTGACGGAAGACCATAAGCACCCAGTGCTAGTGTCCATGTGAGTCAGCGCAGCCCCTGTGGGAAACACCCTGGCAGTTTCTGTGACATAAAATACCTATCTGGGGGGTCCTTGGGCCTGCCTGCATGGTGTGTACCGGGTCTGTGCGCCCTGGGGGTCGGGGGTCCAGCAAAGCTCTGGTCACCTGGCCCAGGTCCTGGGGTCCACCTGTGAGAACTGGTCCTCCTTAGTGGAAAAGACGGAACAGTGAATGGTAGGCCCTGATGCACAGGAAGGATATGGCAGTCCGTTGGGACCTGCAGAGGACATCTGGTATCATAGCAGAGGAAGAATAGAACAAATTAGACAACTACTCCAGCCAAAGAATGACAGTGAATATCTGGCTGAATGGAGACTGTAGGTTGACTGTGTCAGCCAATGGCCATTGGAAGAGATTTCCTCATGCTTGGATCAGCGAGTTAGAGAGCATTTCAGAATTATTGA